TGTATATATATATATATATATATATGCATAATTCTTCCTTGCAAATTACCAAATTGTCATTATGTTAGTCTAAACCACATGGTACTACGTGTAGTTAGAACATTGACGTATATCTAATGTGGCTAAAGGGTATGCACTAAATTGTCGAAAATAGTAGTTAAGACCATAAAATGTGTTTCGTTCGGTTGGTCCAACTACAAAAACTGTTAAGGTCAATGAGAACATGGATATCTAAGAAAATATTTTCCTTGATGGCCGGGTCATAGCTCAAAATGTCTAGAGAGTGCAATTATTATAAATGTAATACACTATTCTTGTCCAGCATATCATGTGCAGCATTACTAATGTATTTCTCCACTCTATCTACTTTCCCCTACAAGATTTCATATCCCTCCCTTCCCTACAATCCAAGAGAGAAAGAAAGAGAAGTAGCTAACGTACCTTCTCGGAGCGCCTTTGACTAATCTCAGGGAGAAGCTGGCGTAATTTGGAGACAAGGTCGATGATCTGATCATCAGTTATCCTTGGAACACTAGATTGCCTTGACCTTCTGCTAGACATGCCTGCAAACGGATTTTTGTTACGCGTCTGTTTGAAAGTTTGAGTCCCAGCTGGCTTAGGTAAAAGGAAGTATTCTGATGAACCAAAAGAGCAAATGGGAAACGGTAACAAGATAGATATATCGGCCGTAAGAGAAGAAGAGAAGAAGAGATAGAAGGAATGTGTTGAATGTAATTAGCTAGGTAGGGAGGTGAAGAAATGGAGATAGTGATAAGAGAGGTTATAAAGAGAAGGACCACAAGAGCCAGTGAAGAGAGAGTGTGGGAGAAGGAAGAAAGAGAGAGAAGAGGGAGGGAGAGAGAGTACAATAACGAAGACAGTGATGTTGGATGTGATGAAGACAAGTGCATCGAAGAAAGAAGTGGACTAGGCTTGATGTTTTTTCAGGAGATAGAAAGAGAAAGGAGAGAGACCATACACTTCTTCGATGTGTTCCCAACTTGGGGTTTGGTCTCAAGTGGGCTTAGAGAAATATGTTTGTTTTTTGGCAAACAAAGTGGGCCTTTGTGTGTGTGTCTAAATGCACAACACCATGTGATCAGAGGACATTACTCCTCTCCAATCAGGGACTTTAAGGCACTGAATTTCATACTCGAATCACAATTTGCCACATTGAACTACTTAAATACTGTTTATCCTTATGATGTCTCACTCCTATATTTCTGGGCCTTAACTCAAAATTTACCAATCCACTATTTCTTGACATGGCATGATCTCAGTGGCCATTGACCTAGCTGGAGAAAAAAACCCGTTCACAAGGTTCCGCAACAGATGATGATAACCTTGTACACTCCTCCACACTCCTCTTTACTATTAGCATTTGCCATTTATTATTTTTCTAGCATTTTGTGGTCAAGAAACTACAACCGGAAGTTTGATCATGTGCACAATTTAATGCTTGATGTCTATGTATATATGAATAAAAATATGCAAATCTAATTAAAATAATGGACAAAAGCAAAATCAATCTCCAGTGCCCATATCTCTCGCATGTGTAGTTGTTTTTCTTCCTTGTTCGGGACATAACTACGTGAGTGTTGCAAGCTTGATTATCAAAACCTCATATCACATGCTCTTTCCCTGGCATACACGACACGCCACGTGTCATGTCATGGCCTAGTACATTATGTTAGAGGGAGAAAATCTCTCATACAAGGATATTGTACGTATTTGAAATTTCAAATTGCTTTTGGCTAGCAGTATCACGTGCTACTAGAAATTTGGACGACCCCGGCCCTCCCTTACCTTCCCCGTCCCTCAATTGTTTGCTGTTGTAACCATGTTCATAAACCATCTTAAATTTTTGCCAACAACCAGCAAGTTCTTGAATTAGGATTATCTGAGCTTCTTAATTTGATGCTTCTTGATTGATGATGACTAATATATAATTCTTTCGTTATCTTATTATATGTTTGGAACCTTTTGTCTAATTGATCACAATTAATATATGAAAACCAAACAAGATAAAGCAAACATTTATTTATTATAATTCTTTGATTGAACTTTATATATATATATATATATATATATATATATATATTAGGGTATGTTAAAGAATAATATAAATTATATTTTGAAACATCATCTAACAATTTAAGTTTTTAAGTTAAGATGATTTTTTTGATATAATATCAAAATCTTGATGATAAAGTAATCACGAATTTAAATTTTACTATTTTTATTTATTTGATAAAAATTAAACATAAAGTAATATGAGTTTGTGTAAATTTTAAGTTTAAAGAATTTTTATTTGAAAAAATATGTTAAATAATAATACAATTTATATCTTGAAATCTTACCTAACAATTTAAAATTTTAAATTAAAATAATATTTTAACAATATAATAGGTAGAATATTTTCTTTTTCCAATCTCCCGACATAATCATTTAACCTTTTTTATTTTTCTGTGATTAGGATATTCTTTTCTTTTTGCTTATAAGATGACGAACGACAAAGAAGTAGGTTGATATATTGGTTCTGTTCGATAAATGGTATTTCTTGGAAGGTGTAGACACAAATGGAAAGGTTACTTTATACACACATCACACATGGCTTGTCAATACATGGTAAAAATTAATAGAACTAAGTAAAATCTTTCAGCTTTTATGTCAAATGGAATTGGACATGTAAATTATGCAAGGGAAATGGTGAAGGCACATACAACTGGTAATTGATTGCGTGCCGAAAGTCAATATCAAGATGACGTTCATGGCTCACCATCTCACTTCTTTTTAGGAAGAAAATATATATTTAGATATCTATTGCGATTAACTGGAAATTGGAATTGGTGGCATCACATGTTAGTCCATGTGAGTTTCCAGTGTAAATCAGGTACTAGAACCACATCATGTAACCATTATAGAACAAACACATGAGGCTAGATGTGTGAGGAGAACGAAGAATTATGATCACCGAAAACGCAAAATGCTCTTGTCTGTCTTCTTTCCTTGAAGTGACAGATTTAAGCCAAAAGGCGCGTCTGATCCAAATATTTTATAGAAATGAAGAAGCGATGAACTACTACTAGGGCTCCGTTTCGAACCCTACTAGCTATATGTCTTGTTTGGTCACGGTGCAGAACCATGAATTGTGGGAAAACAAGGACTTAATGCAATATCATAATCATCGGATGATTTTCCTTCCGTGATAAACGAATGGCATGTAAGTAAAATTTTGCGGCAGCTAATCACTGGACTATGCACGTTCCTTTCGGCGTCGGCAAGAGAAATTTGGTAGATCACATAGTTTGGCATATAGTATAAGTGAAGTTCTCACACCTTTTCTAAGTAATTAATCACACCCCTAAATGCGCCATTTGATTGAAAAAAGAAGAAGATATTGGAATGATTACAATTCATTTCTCTCCGACAAGTACAATCCTCGATTTGGTTTGCTAGTTTTTTCTCAATTGTTTAATTAAAACCTTGAAAAGTAAGAGATAGAGGGTGATTATACCGTTGAGGACACTTTGATGCTGTGTGTCTAGAAGTTGCAGAGTTGACAACTTGCGTGAGTAGGAGGACCTTGAGCAGTATTTTGATTGTCACGAGAATCTGCATAGTTATGATTTCTTGGGGTACAAAAGTTGCCAAAGACGCGGCCTCTCTGCCGCTTTTTTTGCTGCCTTCGCCACGATTTCAGCCGAAGTTGCTGCTGCCCCTTGCAGTCTGAAACTGTTGTTATCGTTGCCTCAAGTTGGTACCTGTAAAAGTCTCCCGCTTTGGGGTGGGCAGCAGTGTCGCCTTTGTTGAGTTCTTATGAAAGACTTCATGGCTCAACAATATTCAAGTCCAGCAGTCAGAATAATAGCCAAATCTTTGAAGTCACATCTTAAACCTTCGAAAACATAAAGATTAAAGTTGTAAGTCCCAAGGGACGACTAACAACAACTAATTCATCATTGCAAGACTTAGCACCATTAGGTAGGATGAGACAAACTCTGAGTTCATGATGAAGCTCTTGGAGGGCCAAGTGCAGAGTTGTGATCCATGTGTTGGAGGGCGAGGCAATATGTTTTTCCAAGGTCATCCAAGGACAATCAATGATAAGAGGCATCACATCATTAGAAGAAGAATCAATCAGTGTGCCCAGATGAGCTGATCTTGATTAATCCAGATATGATATGCAGGATTTCTTCAGGGTCTCCCATCACTAGATTCGACTATGAACAGAGGACGTCATGACTTAGACCCAACAATATAGCCGAAACTTCTTCCCAGAATTTAAGAAACTGTTTCATTTGACAATGCAAAAAAAAAAAAAATTCATTGTAAGTTTGAGATGAAGAAAGTGATTGGAATTACTCAAGGGATGTTGGTCACTCAGATTTTTTTTTTTTTTGATAATATGCTATCAATTAATCACTTCCACCTTGCAAGGAAGAAAACTATACAATAGAAACTTAATGCAAAAATAAGGTAGGTAGCAACCTCAAAAAATAAAGCTAATTATGAGAATCTAAGATTTAGAATCCTAAGAAAAGATTAAAGTTACACCACTCAAGAAAAAGAACATGTTTACGGAGGAAGGAACGAAAGATTGCAAGAATTAAAATGTAAGAAAATTAAGAGAAATTATATATATATATATATATATATAAAGTAAGTAAGACCTTTGGGAGAAAAAATAAATAAGATTTTATAAAAAATTGCATATATGGGAATGTCATCATTTATGATAGACAATACAACCTATTTATATTATAATAGTGTTAGATTTTCATATCAATACTTAAATATAATTTTATATGAGTTTTTACACATCAAAAGATTATATGATAAATTCTAATATAAATTAAACTTTACCTTATCTTGTTGTTGGTAACCATATTAATCTTAAATAATATGTAATATTGATCAATTTTATTTGTTTGTAATTTCAACTTTAAATAAGATTAAACTTTCTGTTGATTACATGAATTGTAGCTTATATGAATAATTATTTTTCCTTGATCAGTGATGACTCTTAGTTGATTATCATCCCTAATTACTTTTACTATTTATAATCAATTTTGACTTTTCTTTCCTGATTTGATCATGACCAAACATTATTCTTATTTGAATAATATGTGGATATTTATTTTTTGTATAAAGAAAGGCATCAAATAATTAGGCTAGGGTGAAAAAATAGTGGGATTATAAATTATTTGTGAAGAGATAGAGGAAGAGGCAAGCATGGTAGTCCCTTAAGAAATCCCTTAAGAAGTCATGAAGTTGTTAGGCTAGAAAGCTCAATTATTGATGCAGACACCTTCTAAGATATCTTTAAACCAGATTTGAATGGTTTTTAACTTAATCAAATAAGAATATGTCTTGGAAAACCATAGTTATATGTAATGATCATTCACCCTGCACCTATAAAGAGATGTGGAAGAATAATATAAAATCACAATGAAATTGATCAATCATTTGAAGAGTTTGTAAGTTCAATCAAGAATTTAGCATAGAAATCACTCAACCACACAAGAGATAGCATAAATGTCATTTTTTTAATTAAAAATAATCCAATTTATTCAAAAAGTCTCTACAGAAGAGTATTTGTACTAAAAAAGAATCTAAGTCTAATAGGATATCCTTAATGAATATGAATAAACCTAATAAATAATAATAATCAAATGAACCCATTTTAAATAAAGGCTCTACTATCACTAAAAGAACTAATAATAACTAAAAGATAAATAAAACAACATCTTATAATAAGACTAAAGTTATGTTTTTTAATATGATAGTGGAATTAAAACACAACTTTAAACAAATGGTTCTCTCTTTTCTTAATGAATTTGAAGGT